GGGCGGGGGGGCGCCCGCCGCGGCCCTGGCCGCCCCCGGGGAGCTGGGCTCGGGGGCGAACATAGAGGCCGGGACCGGCGAGTCCATCGGGGAGCGACTCCGCTCCGCCGCCATCTTTAATAACTCAAGCTAATTCGTAGCCGGCTTCCCTCCCTCCCCGGCTCATTTAACTAATCTATGCGTGGCTCCGCCCCGACCCTCATCTGAATAATTTATGCGAAAGTTCTCAAACCGCAGAGGCTGACACGTATCTCTAGCTAAGAAACAACCGACCGGGTCTCTCAGCCACCAATCGCTGCAGCCCTTTCAATTGCTTGATAAATAATTAATGAGGTCCAAACCCCAACAACAAATATCTGAGACGTCACGCGCCTTGCTCTAGTTTGGGCGGGGACAGGACCGTGTCCACAAAACCCGCCTGAAATCTTCCCGCCAACGAAAGCAGAGCGGGGGATGACTGACATAACAGCCATTCAATGAGGAGAGAAATACATACAACGTTCCCTCTCACGGCTCCATCACTCTGTTTGTTTCCAGAGGCGGTGCAATTTCCAATTCTTACTGCAAAACAGTGAGTACCCAAAGCCTTCCGATGATGGACAGGGGCGGGACCCAATCGAGTTACCGAATAGGTCCCGCGCCTCTGGACACCACTCACAGAGATAGTAAACTACGAAATGAGCCTCCCACTCAACTCAGTGACAGGCAGCCGTTGGAACGCTGATGACCGACGTGCTGGCATGCTCCAGGCAATTTTAATAGTAGACTCGATGCTGCAGATTCCAAGAGTTGTAATACTAAAGCAGCCTGAGCGAGGCAATTAATTAAATGCTAACTTTCGGGAGAATTCTCCATTCGCTGCTTCTGCGGAGAGAACAATTACAAGAACAATAGCTGAGGTATGGGGTCTAGTAGTTTCCTCTGGATTATTTTTCCAGAGTGTTATCAGTTGTGGAAAGCCCCAATTCAAAACGCTATCAGCACAAGTTGTAGTGTACTGAATCCCTGTTTCGAAAGTCTCAGGAGCCTAGACCTTCACTACTCGGTGGTATTAGGAATTAACCAGTGTCTAGTAACAAAGCCTTGACCACTCGTCTCAGGCAGCACGCAAGAAAGAACAACCACTTGAGAAGGTGAGGTACCCAGGATTTAGGGTTTGGATCACAGGATTTAGGAGCAATGGGCAGGGTTCAAAAATGGCTGTCAAGTTTCAGGGATCTACCTGAAAGAGGCAGTTGCTTCTTGTTCCTGTTTTCAACTACCATGAAGTGTTATTTGCCCAAACACAGCTGGGAATTTGAGACAAAGAAGTCATCCAATTCCAACTGCCTGGGTAATAGTTCTAATGTGTCATCTACATGGCCCCCCACCGCACCTCCATGCTAAATTGCTCCTCTATCTGGTCTTATGAGGTTAATAAAATATTTAAATGTTGAGTATGTCAAGTAGAAATTTTAGGGGGCTATTGTTTTGGGCTGTTTCTTTGATAGGCCTCAAGAGACCAGACCAAATGGAGTCACTTTAAAGAAGCTGATAGATGCCTAAAATAGACCATTTTTCCCTCCTGAAACAGGAGATTCCAGTCTACTTACGTCAATGCTACAGGAAATAAAATGTATGCACATATGGCTTTCTTAGGAACATGAACCTGGGAATGCTCTAGTGCTACCTGTACTGTTGGTCTTTTGCTTTCCAACACTTTTATTGCTCAAATACATTCCTCCTTTATCTTCCAAACTGCCTTCAGTTGGAAGTTGAGAAGAAAGTCCACAGGTGGCATGGAGGTTAAGGCGCTGAATCCCACATGGTCAGCCATGCAGTTGGAGTCCCAGCCCCTGCAGTTGAAAATCACACGTGTGCACGTGTGCCCAAAATCCTGAGAGGAGACTGGAGGAGAAAGCATTGCAGCATCGCTGTTGTATAGAGCACTGCTCAAAACTGGCCTTACTTGTGCTAAGCACCCAACACCAACACCAGTCTTCAACGTGTTTCAACAAACATGTTTTCCTGTTTTCTCAGACCCCAGTAAACAACCTCACTGCTTTCGGAGACATGTATAAGAGGCCTGCCTGAACCACTCAGATAAACTGCTATAACCACAAGCCACGACAAACCAATAACCAAACTGGTCCCAAAGAACCCATGCCACAGGGCATTGCCTTGGCAAAGGAGCATATGAGCAAATGAGCAGGGCACTCAAACAGCTCCATGCCATTTGCTCTTTGACCACTTTCTGTGTGTGAACCTGGGCAGCTGCTGTGCTCCAGCACTCACTTCATAGTTCTCCTAGCTCTCCTCACTAAGACCTGGAGGCATGGAGGCCCTGATAAGAGTGAATTGGACGGCGCCTCTGTAGCAGCAGCTTGAGGGAAGCCTGGCTCAGAACCTGTGAGCCTGACACTGAGCTGCTCAGGCAATGTTGGACCTCGGACCGAAGGTTTGGAGGATTCAACTCCCTTCCGGTGACCACCTTGGGTGGACTCGGAGTAGAGCTCCCTCGTGGTGTGGGTGCAGGTACTGCCCTCCAATGGGCTCACATCTCCCTGTCCCTTCCCCTGTTATGCTCACTTGTGGGTCAGGACATTTGATGTGAATAAAGCCTTAACATTGTGGAAAGACACAACTCAAGCTGTGGACTAATTCACTGTGTTCTTGACAGCCATCCCCCTTAGGGGGTGATTTCTCACTTTCCCTCTCCCTCTCTGGCCACCGCATGCGCCTTTTTGGGAAAAAGATTGAGAAGAAAGTCTATCCTGATGGGCTTTTCCTGCAGCTGCACATCACCGGGAACACCTCCCAGAGGCTTGGTGGTTTTGCTTTACTAACAGGGCTATTAGGTCTATGAGAAGGAACTACCTTACCAAATGACTGAAAGCAATAAACATTTTATCATTTTTTTAACCCACCTATTGCCTTTCCCCACAGATGCTAAACTATTCTTATGGATAGGTTGGGGACAGGTATGAACTGGTTCATATTTAGGGAGGGTAGCAGAATTTGAAAACCAGGCAGATCCAACCATACTAAAAATGACCCTAAAATAAATTACTTCAAGAAATTAGATCCCAGTGACCCTCAGTGGGAAATTTTTAAAGTTACCAGTATGTGTAAGGGCACACTGACCCAAAACTATTAAACAAGGACACAATAACAGCCCAAAATAAAACAAAAACCACAAAATGGTGGGTACATGCAGCATGTGCTGGTCCCACCATGCCTAACCATACCTGCCTATCTGGCACACTTGCAATCTCCCAGCATAGTCCAGTTGCCTTATAAAAGACCCTCCTCTTTTCTGGTGGGTGGGCTAAGGCACATCTGGCTTCAGAGCCCCGGTTGCCCTTGCTCAATAAACTTTCCTTTTTCTCTTGAGATGACCACCTCCTGAGTCTTACTCCAAATCGTGACAAATGTCCATAACTGAAGTGGAGAAATAGGAAGCCCAAATGAAAGAACTGTGGTAGGGCTGACAGGACGACTATGAATAAGCAGTAGCCCTTCTAAAAAAGGGCTATCCTTGGCAACCAGCAGGTGGCATGGTGCTTAAGGTGCTAGACATTCCCACATGCCAAACCATGGTTTGAGTCCTGGACCAGGTTGCTTGCTTTCTCGCTTACCCTCTTTCTCTGCGTCTCTCTGGTCAAATGAAAAGAAATGGATGGATAAGTAAAATTAAGTAAGTAATCCTTTAATAAAAGGGCTACCCTGACTCAACCTTTGGAGGAATTAAAGTGGTGGTGACCTTGATGGACAGTGGAAGGAGTCACAACTTGTGAAATTTCTTAGATACAAATTTACCAATATTTAAATAATTTTGCCTAATGTTAATACACAATTTAAAAAACCCACAAAAATATTTACACTGTTTTGTAGAAAGCATATATTTTTGGCTCAAAGTTTCTGTAGTGTTTTCTGTGGAGGAAATAAAAACTTAATTTACCAGTTTAAAAAAAAAAATTGAGGGGACCAGCAGATGGCATAATGGTTACGTAGCTGGACTCCTATGTAGTCAACCACGGTTTGAGTCCCAGAAACAATGACTTAAAACTCACACCAGGCGTGCGTGCAAAACCCCAAGAGGAGAACTGAAAGAAAAGGGGTTGTGGTGTGGCCCTCCCCCTTGGGGGGTAATTTCTCGCTTTCTGTCTCTGGTGAACACACATGTCCTATAGCAAAAATTTCTCTTAAAAAAAAAAATGAGAAGAGGGCTGGCTGTAGCACAGTGGTTAAGCGCTGTGCCCTGGGAGCCAGACCCCACATGGGCTACTGTGGTTAGAATCCTGGCCTCAGCAGCTTGAGAAATACACCAGGCATGTGTGTGCATGCCCCAAATCCTCACATGGAGGAAAAAGGACTGTGGCGTTACTATGCCCCATTGGGGACTGCCTTCTCTTCCTTCCTCTCTCTCTCTCTTCCTTTCTATCTCTCTCTGGTAAACACACACACCATCTGGAAATACAGAAAAATAAAAGATTGAGAAAAGTGATTCCAGGTAATCACGAGGTTACCCTGCTGTCCTATCACAGGTTCAATCACTGCTGTATACGATTCTTTGCTATTCCTTCCTCCCATTCACTATTTTTGCCTTTTTTTTTTTTTTTTGAGAGGTTTTCGCTATAGGGCGCGTGCGCTCGCCAGACAGAGAGAGACACAGAGACAGAAAGTGAGAAATCACCCCCCGGGGGGGTGGTCACTCCGCAATTCCTTCTTCTCCATTCTCCTCTCGGGATCTTGGGCATGCACGCACACGTGCCCGGCGCCGGACCGCGGTCGACTATGTGGGAGTCCAGCAACATAGCCATTACGCTAACTGCTGGTTCCCACTATTTTTGCCTTTAAAAATCACCCCGAAGGGATCTGCAGGTGGTGTGGTGGTTAAGGTGCTGTACTCCCACATGGCCAACTACAGGCCAAGTCCTGGTGGCTTGCTTTCTTACTTTCCCTCTTTCTCTGGTGAATTAATAATAATAATAATAAAACTAAAATAATAATTCTTTTTTTAAAAAAAGAATTATTTTACTTTATTTATTATTATTTTCCAATTTGACCAGAGAGGGACAGAAAGAGAGAGGGAAAGTAAGAAAAGAAACCACCAGGTCCAGGATTTGAACCATGAGAGTCCAGCGTCTTTAATCACCATATTACCTGCCAGCCCCTAAATAAGTAATTCTCAAAAAATTTTTCCTAAATCACCCTGAAATCTGTAAGACCCCAGTACACATGATTCAGGGCAATGTGGGTGTTGTGGCCCAGGTAAAATCTTTGCTTTACTTGCTTTGCCTCAGCCTTTGTTTTTTTTTTTTTTTCTTTATATAAGATTGACAGAAAAGTCAAACATTAAGACACTGTGTTCCACGATAACTGCGATATTGTGAAATGTATGCATCTGGCATGCCATTTCCTTGACATACAACTCCTAAGATGGTTGGAATCGCCTGAGTGAAGATTGGCTTCTGTACCGTTTGTAATGTCTTTTATTTAAAAAAAAAAAAATAGTTAACTTGCTCTTTTATCATGAACTACTCTAGTAATCAAATCCGAGGAAAGGATCATGGGAACCCAAGGAGGGGTCACGGGAGCCACAATTTATACCTGGTCAGTCAGAAGTTCCAGAGGCCCAGACCTTCAACTGGTGTCTTAAGTGGGGAGCGGTCTTGTGGAACCGAGCCCTTAACCTGTGAGATCTGACAGTATGCCCAAGCAGACAGTATGCGTTGAATTAAACTAGCACCTCGCCGGTATCCTCCATGGAAGCAAGGGGCTGCTGATGGGAAGAAATCCACACGCGTTTTGGTGAGCAGAGATGCTGTGTTGTATTCAGAACAGAGAACAGAAAAAACACCTATCAGTTGTTCTTCTATTACTCAAATTGATTTTTAGCAGAATCTTACCAACTTGCTCTTCAGAAAAAGCTCAAGTTCAGAATGTGCTGATTTAAACTATGCCCTTCTCACTATAGGACTCAACTCAGAAAAGGTATTCTCAGAGTAGGTACTTCTGGAATTGATAGAGAAATCCAAAAACATTTCAGAGAGGGAATTTCCTACCCATGCTTATACATTTTCTTTAGCCATGTTAGAATTCAGGCTGGCTGGAAGATGGCATGGCAGTTAAGAAACCAGACTTCCTGGGACCAGCAGTTGGTGTAATGGCTATGTTGCTGGACTCCCATGTAGTCGGCTGCAGTTCGAGTCCCAGACCCGGTGGCTTAAACTCATGCCAGTGTGTCTGCATGCACACTGAAGATCTCAAGAGGAGAATGGAGGAGGGATTGTGGCATGGCCATCTTCCCTGGGGGGTGATTTTTCGCTTTCTGTCTTTCTGGTGAATGCACATGCCCTATACCAAAAACCTCTCAAAAAATTTTTTTAAAAAAGAAACCAGACTTCCACATGGCCAACTGTGATCTGAGTCCCGGGCCTGATAGCTTGGTTTCTCTTTCCCGCTTTCCCTCTCTCTCCTATCCAATGTAAAAATAATAGGGGCTGGCAGGTGGCATAGTGGTTAGGGACACTGGACTCCCATATGCTTGTGGTTCAAGTCCTGGACCTGGTGGCTTGTTTTCTCACGGTCCTTCTCTCTCTCACTCTGTCCCTCTCTGGTCAAATTAAAAAATTAATTTATTAATTACAAAATAAAAAATATACAATTATTAAAAAACCCTCAGGCTTAACTTCCAATCCATTACCCACTAGATTCACATACATAGTCAACCAAGTTGACAAACTTCTCTCAGCTTCAGTCTTCTCTAAAAAACTGAAACATATAATTGGATAAATGAAACTTCATATCTGTATTTCATATATTTTTTCATTTATTTTTCTTATTTTTTTCAAAGATTGATATATATATAGATGGATATAGATATATATCACTTAGTGCTAGCTGCATTGGAGGCTCTCAATAACTAATCTTATGTAAACATACCCATAACCTTTAGGTGGCTTACAAATTACATAAAGTTAAGACAATCCAAGTTGTCTAGCTAGAGGAAAGAGGACTCTCAACCACGTGGTAGGCACTCAAGCATGTTAAAACAGCAACACCGTTGCTGAGTATACTGGTGTAAAAAGTAGTCGTGTTAAAGCAAGAGTCAAAGAAACGACTGAACTGGAAATGCGATTTTATTGTTTTTCTATTTTCTGAACAAAAATCCACAAGGAGGGCCGCTATGGTGGATAATGCCTTCCACATACCCTAGGAGTAGACAAAGGGGGAAAAAACTAAGGCCACAAGAGGCTGCGAGTAGTTTGCCCTTTCCAAAACATCCAGTACATCTTCAGGCCCTGAGAAAAGGCAGACAGGAAAGCCCGAATCAGAGGGCAGGGGTGAGTGTGTAGCGAGTTGAAATTAGACACCCAGGCACTGAAACAGGACTCTCCGCTCCACTGGGAACGGGACCCCGGCGGGGCCCTTGCCCTCGGCTCTCACCCTTGACACTCCCAGCGAAGTGCGAGGCGATCGGGCCACTAAGACCATCTGTGCCCGACCGCATCAGAGGAGTGCTCTGGGCTCACCCGGGGGATGGCGCGCTGGGCAACGCATACGGCCACCGCAGGAGCGGCGAGGGCAGGATCGGAAAGCTCGCCCGGCCTAGAGAAGGGAGCGGTGGGGAGGGCCGCGAAGAGCAGCCCCAGGCCAGGTCACCGCCCCGGAAGGGGGCGGGCACCGAGGCGGGACCCAGGCCGCCGCGCCCTTCCCTGGACGAAGACAAGCCCAGGTGCCGGGCACCCGCCGGCAGGACGGGCTCCCCACCCCCCCGGCCCCCGCCCCCCC